GCAGGAAAACAAAAACAAACAACAACAACAAAAAAAAAAAACAAAACCTAGAGTGTTCTGTTTACCTTGGCCATTTACACTTACGTACGCCGAAATGCCACATAATACATTTTGATAATTTGGGGTAGGAATTGTTCATTTGGTTGCATTTACCATGGCTCTGCTTTGTGTCTTGCTAGAACTCGACCTCTTACCAGCCTCCTTTTCCCTCTGCTTGGAGAACTGCTTTCAGATCTTCCTGTCATCTCTGTCTTCACTCTGGAATGTTGGTCATCGAATCTCTAGTTCCGAGTTCTTTCAGCACTGGGTTTCCCTGCGGCCTTCTTGCTGTTTGTGTTACTGAGCAGTGTTCGCGGGAACCCGCCGTGTCCCACAGGGCAGCCCGGTTGGTTGGTTGTTTCAACTGTTCGTGGTGCATCGAAGCACAGCACTTTCTTATTCCGCCTGCTGGGGACCTGCTGTGTTTTGGGAGTCTGTGGGTCACCGCTGCTCGTTTCATTCCTCACGTCGGGGAAACTCTCCCTCTCTCACCCCTTCATCCTTGTCACTTCAACTGCCTCACCTCAGTCTCTAGGGCCCTCGTTACCAGCATTTGACAGCTCCTGCCTGCTACGTCTCTTACTTTTTAACTAAATTTCTATCTTCTGTGCCCTCTTCTACTAGGACTGTTACTTCTACTTCACAATCCGGGTAAGTTCTTCCTTAGTCACTCACTTCTCAGTGGGTATTACTCATATCTACTGAGTTCCAAATTTTGGTTATATATTTTAGTAAACAGGATTTCTTCTTGGTTCTCAAATAAAAAAAAAAAATAGTATCCCAGTTGCCTAATAACTCCAACATCTTGAATTCCTGTGATCTGTTACTTTTCTATGGATCCTGGCTTATTATGCACATTGTCTCATTGTATTCCTTAACTTTATTTGAAACACTTCCAGAGCTGCGTAGATCAATGGTAGAGTATTTGTATGTAAGGCCCTGGGTTCATACACAACCAAACAATTCTTTCAGAAATAACTCAAGAATTTAGATGATGTCCTCACCCTCCAGAGGACTTTTCTTTTTCCAGCACCTTTGTTCTTGGGCTATAGTGTAATTAGCGCTTCGACTCTATCAGGCATTATTACCGTGGTTGTTGCTTGGATAGGGAATTTAGGGCTCCCTGCCCTTTTGTTTTCAGTCAGCAATCCTCTTAGGAAGAGAAACTTCAGCCTTGTTGGGCCTCACTAGCCACTGAAATCCCAAAGGACTTCACTGTATGCTATGCTAGGGGTGGAACCCAAGGATGTGTGACTGCCGGGAAAGCCCAGTCTGAGCCGCACCACTAAGGCCTCTATCGGGCCCTTTGGCTGGTTTTTTTCCATGCTTACAACTGATTTCTATGATCTAGGTATGTGGAGCTCGGCATGACTTTAAAGAAAAGCTGAGAAGTTTGAGTTGCTAATTCTACTCAGTTTTGTCTTGCTTCTTACGTTGTGAAAGGCCTAACACCAGCTGATAATTCTCTTCACTGGATTGTGGGCCCTGACAGCTTTTACCTTTACGGTCAGTTTTTCAAGGATAACTGTGGTGGTTTCAATGAGAACACCTGGTTCCCAGTGGGCGGAGCTGTTTGGGAAGAACAAGGGGGTACCTCGTGAGGGGGCTTCTCTCTGCCTTCTGTGAGTAAGCTACTGCTTATCAGCTACTGCTCCGCTGCCATGTCCCTGCCATGCTGGCCATGGGCCAGCCCCCTGAAAATGGAAGCAAGCCCCCCACTGAATGCTTTGTTTTATAGGCTACTTTGGTCACAGTGTTTCAGGAGAACAGTGAGTAACTTGATGTTGAAGGCCAATTTTCCTGGTATTCTGTACGCACTTTTAGTACAAACTCAGGCATTCTTTCATTCCAACAATAAACAGGTCCTTTTGTCTGATTTTTTTCATTATCTTTTCTTACACCATTATCTTCTTTTGTTGAAAATAAGATTATTTTCTCATACAATATATCCCAGTTAGTTTCCCCCACCTCTACTCCTCTCATATTCTCCCCATCTCTACTTCCTTTCTGTCATTTGAAAAGAACAGGCCTCTAAGAGAAAACAACCAAATATGACAAAATTAAAAAAAAAAAAAAAAAGATGAAGCAATGAAGCAACCCAACAAGAGGAAGAGTCCCAGGAGCAGGCACAAGAGTCAGAGACCCACTCATTTTTCACCTTTTAATTCCCCACTTTAATTTTTTAGATTTGAAGAGGACTTGCGTAGATGGTATGATTCCTTATATATCCTTAGTTTCCTCCCCTTCCGCTCAGAACTCACATTTATAGCACAATTAACAAAATCAGCTGGCATTAGCTTAATGCTAACTAATCATTCCTTATTTGAATTTTGGCAGTTTCACTATTCTCCTTCCTCTTGGGGTTTTGTTTGATTTCACATTGTATTCAGGGGGCTAGAGAGATGGCTCAGAGGTTAAGAGCACTGACTGCTCTTCCAGAGGTCCTGAGTTCAATTTCCCAGCAACCACATGGTGGCTCACAACCATTTATACAGGGGTCTGAGGCCCTCTTCTGGTACATAGATATACATACTGTACTCATCTACCAAAAAAAAAAAAAAAAAAAAGACTCACATGCAGCTGTCCTGTGTGTGGCATCAAAATTCACATTGTGTTATTTTTTTCTTAGTTCTTTCAGTCTTGGCACTCTAAGAACAATAGTGCTGATAATTTGTACTGTAGAGCAAACTTCAATTAGAGACTGATGGTTCTACAGGATTGAAGTTATGATTAAATAAACTTTGTGTGTTCATGTGTGTGCACATACAGGCCAGAGGTTGATGTGCTGTCTTCCTCTCTCACTCCCCACCTCTTTACATTTTTATTGTTATAGCCGGTGGGGGTGAGGTACTCCATGACACTCATGTGGAAGTCAGAGGCCTACTTTGTGGGGTTGGTTCTCAGCTTTATGTATATTCTGGGGATTGTAAGTTAGACTTACATTGTTGAGTGACAGTGCCTATACCCACTGAGCCATCTCATGGGCTCCTCTACCTAATTTTTTGAGACAGGATCTCTCTCTCTCTCTGAACCTAGAGCTTCCCAATTCAGCTAGACTAGCTGGCAAGCAAGACCCCAATCCTTCCATCTCGGACTCCTCAGGGCTGAGATTATGACCACATGTTCCTGGGTGCTGGGGAGCTGAACTGAGGTCCTCATGTTTGTGTGGTCAGCTTTGTACGTATTGAGGCCCTGTGTGTTATTAGTAAATCACATTAAAGGGATCAGGACATCAAAATGCCCTATTCTTAGCTAAAGTGCTGTTTTGTCTCTACTGCAGCTTCTGTCTTCCTCTTTCTCTTTGTACTTAGCATAAATCTTGGCCTCCATATTATTCTCAAAGTTCATTGTTTTGCTACCAAAGTTAAATTTTCTACCCGGACCAAAATGGTGTGACCAATGGCATGAATTACCATCACAGAAATGCAGTGACAGCCTCTGGGCTCTTGTCTTCACTCTCCCTCGTTGCTTGCAGGTGGCGTTCTTTCCCTAGGTACCCCTTCTTTCCAGGACTTCACATGCCAGTTCTGATCTGCTGTTCTTCAGCTCCACCCTTTAAATGAGATATTATGGGTACCATCTCTGCTCTCTAGCTGAGGTCGGTTACAGCTGCTGATTTCCCCTTCCAGCTCTGCATCTTACAATGCTAACAAAGCACCTCACCTTCAAATACATCATTTATCAACAGCTGGATGTTAATCAACATCACCCAAATTTGAGCCCTTTACAATGCACCCTGACCCCTCTGTCAGCGGTCCACCTCTACTCTCTCCTCAGTTCTCAGCTTAAACACCAGTTCTTCTTGTGACTACCTGTGAGCTCCCCATGCTAAGGGTTCACTGGTTCCCAGTCCTCTAACTTGCTGCCAGTTTCCTGTTGACAGACAGGAAGTAGACACAGGGCTTTTCTGTCTTGTTCAACATGGAATCCCCAGCACTTAACTCCTCTGAGCCTCTGGCACATGGAAGTATTACTTGGCCACTCTGAGTCCTGTCGAGTCTCTTCTGACCCTGCCCACATCCCTATGTCCCCATCACATTCCCTTGCTGAGTGCCGATTTAGACTGTAAAGGCACCAGCCTCCCACTCTAGTTTTTCCCACAGTTGAGCCAACTCTCATAAAATACAAATCTGATCATACTATGTTCAATTGTGTAAAGCCCCAAGAACAACCTATTACTCTGATAAAAGTACTAAACCATCAGAATGGATTATAAAACTCTTCTATAGTCTAGGTCGTACCTTCTCAAAACCACGGTCTATGCTCAGGGTCAGGACGAGCCCTCTCAAACCCACGGCTACAGGCATTCTTAAAAGTCTAGACCTTTGAAATATACCTGATACCTGTCTGTAATGATTCTTCATACTCCCACAATATCCATCTATGCAGTATGCATCCCTAGTGCCTAACCTATTCATATGTCCTTAGTCTGATTAAGAGTAGCACTTTCCTTCTTCTCCTTCCCCCAAACACACACACACACACAATCTTTAGCCTCTCTCACACACACAGCCTTTACTTCTCTCTTACACATACACACAGCGCGCACACCCCACAATTTTTAGCCTTTTTCACACACAAAACTATGAGAAGTGACCACCTGTATTTCCAACATTCATCACACTGCATAGTAGGAGTCCAGTAAGTATGTACTAAATAAATGAACCTTAAACCCTTCAACACTGCAGCTATTTTTTCACTTTCAAAAGAAAACCGAAAGTTCCTGCTCAATCTGATTTTCAGAGAAAATGAGGTGGACCGCTGGGTAGAGGTGGCTATCGAGAAGCTTCAGGACTTGAGTTGGATCCTTGCAATCCATGAAGGTGAACAGATTTAGAGAGTCAAGTTGCCCTTTGACCCCTTTACGCATGCTGCTACACCTTCTACACCTGCTACCCGCGACACACAGAAATATCTACCTACACACACACACACACACACAAAAATGAATTTAAAAAATCTGCTCTTTAAATAATGACTTCATTAGATCCCTCAGTTCATGGTGACTGGGAGTTTTAAAGTGTTGCAAACAGAGAAGTGATTGTGATTCACATTCTGCCCATTCCAGGCATCACTGTGAATTAAAGAATGCTATAATCCAGCCAGTTAGAAGGCCTGAGGAGAGCACTGGCATGAACAGGACTGAGGCAGGCTTCATCCATCCCCTCTCCACAGCTGTTAACGACTAGGTCTATCAGGAGATGTACTCTGCTGAGTTGATTCTGGTGGTAAAAACGACGGGTTCTGTTTTTGTTGGTGCTTTATTTTGTTGTTTTCCAACATGAACTCAAAAAAAGCCAAGAAAAGGAATTTGAGAATGAGCAGTTCCAGTCCCAAAGGTGGTATGGAAGGTCTTGGATGACATCCCCTTCAGTGCTTATGGTCAGCATCTTTTATAGATCAAGAAATCAGTAAATACCAGTATGTATAAACGGAATAAATAGCTGGTGAGCTATACAACACAGGTGGCCTGATGAGAACTGTGAACTGACAGTTCTCATCACAGACTACTCAAACAAATGTGCTTAGGAAGCAGTTTCCAATCCTCGGTGGGAACTCTCGGCAGACAGCAGGGTCAGGGGAGCATCATTCTTCTACTCCCAAACACAGACACTCTGGAAAGGTGTGATGATCATGAGCCCACACAAAAGAAACAGGACCTGGTCCTGCAGGAGGAGGAAAGAGTGCACAGGCCTACCGCTGACTCCCTGCAATGCATTCTTAACTATACCAGCACTCACATGTGTCATTGTCAACACCACTGGAAAAGAAGACATAAACATTCAACATTTTAAGGATCTTGCACAAAGCAAATGAGAGTAGGTTTTATTAACATATCTTACAATGTCAATTATTCCTATTTATGTAATTTCTGCTTAATTATAAAGGCTGATTTCGCTTCTACAGTAATGTACTGTATTTAAATGATCATTCATACAAGATCACACCAGTACATTTTTTTTTGTATAATATACACACATCACTCTAACTTGGACCTGTTATTTTAAAAGTGGGTTTATAAATGGGACTTATAAAAGTTAGGGGAAATGAAAGTTCTAATTTAGCAGCATGCATGTATGTATTCAAGTACAATTTTCAACCAAGTGCTTTTTTTAAAATTTACTGGTGACTAATTCACCAATATCAAAATAAACACTATCAAATATCCAAATTTTAAAGTTAAGGCTAATTATTTTCACTTCACATCCATATGCACACCATAAACATTCCATTTAAATATGTAGTGATCAAAGTCTGAATACATTATACCATGTATATATAGCATCAGAGTTCCAAACTGTAGAATTATTCAAGTTCATGAATCCTGTAACAGTATTCACTAGAGACGTAATTAGCATTTTGCTCTTCAACCACACTTAGAAATGGTCTGGTATTCATAATGACCGATGCAGAAAGGTAACAGGGCGAACTTACAGCACAGTCCTTTAAAGAGCAGGTGCTGGAGGACAGCGGTTTACCACAGCAAACCATTCTAGCCTGACAGAAAATTAGTTCACTGTTTTGGAAATATATATAAAAATAGCAAATTATTCCCCCATATTTTCATAAAGCACTCCAGGCAATCTTCTGACACTCTGAACAGATCTAAGGGCATATTACTCTGTCTCCCTTATTTTGGTGCAAAGCCATCATCTTATGTTAATTTTCATATTCTGTAATGTCGTGTCATTCAAAGATATTTTGGAACATGGGGCTGATGTTACTTTTTTCATTCAATGTTTCTTAGTTTACTTCCACAAGTAAAAATGTAATTTTATAAAACAAGCCATGGAAATCCAAAGTACCAGGAACTGCTTGATAGTACTATGTGTAAAATAATCATTAAAGTATTGAATCACCTGGAAAAAAAATCTTGGTGTCAATAAAACATGCTTTTCTGTCATCTTCTTTCCCTCTTACTGAGTGAATTTTAGCTCGCTCATTCCCACTGAGAATTAAAAACCCTGCACACAAGGGGTGCTCTTCAGAGCAGTGTCTAAAGCAGAAGGATGGCTCATTCCTGAGGGTCAGTACCTCTAAGCCTTTCCTCTTTAGGAGGCCATACAGAACAGCAGCGATTACACTGCACGAGCAGAACACAGACGAGCATCTTCAGTCGGCTGGGAGAGTTCCAGAGCGTGCTTGGTAACACAAGGTGGGCATGCACAGAATCAAAACTCTGCCATGTACGTGTTCTTAACCCTTTTGATTTTATTGTAACATCTACTCGGCACTAACAACTCTAATAATTCATTCAATTAAAATGGTAAATTGATTTTTTTTTTTTTTTTTTTTGGTGTGGGGCTTAAGAGGAAACTCAGGCTTTGTGAATGTTAGCTAAGCATTTTACCACTGAGCTACACCCTGAAGCCCACAAATTTTTGTTTTTAAAGCCCTCCCCAAACACACAGGCCTTGCCCCTCCCCCCAGGGCCTGTACTATACGAACAGCAGCTATCTATTTTACAGCTAGTTCAATTATTTACCCAGGGAAAGCATTTATGAAATTCCTGAGAATGAATTAAGTTTTCAGCAAAGCTTAAACTTTTAACAGATTCCTCACAATAAGAAAAAATTTAAAAGTTCTACTGTTAGACCAATTTTTACTATACAATATTTCACATAAATCATGTTTTACATTTTTTCTAATTACATACAGCAAAAATCTCAAATCAACACAAGGATGACAAAGAAAAAGATGCATTATGTTTAGCAGATGCAAATTAAAACACAGAAAGAGCAGTAGAACTTCAAATAAATCACATCCTCTCTCTCAGTGAACAGCCAATAAGGGCATTGTAGGGAAAATCATTTCTGAATGATTTTTGTGGGCAAGTTGTGCTTTTTATTAATTGTGCACTTAAAAAATGGCCACTAAAGAATGATTTATCTTATTTGTTGTCCAGATACTTGAGAAAAAAATATTATACCATTGATGCGGTTACCAAGCACCTAATTTTGGGAAGGTTTCATAATGTATGTTTTCTCTTTAGCCCTCAGCAAAGACATCAATCCCCCAGATTAAATTAAAGCTTACTGTTGATAAAATCAATCTCAGTGAAAATAATAGTATATGCAATGCTGAGGTGTACGTCACAGTCCATTGTAATGAGGACCCCATCTTTTATTGATGTGGTCGAAAGTGTGAGAAACCCACTGCTGCTCAAGAACTCTGTACCGCTCCTCACAGATGTACAGGGGCTTGCCTCGCCTGCAACACAGAGAAAGGGCAACAGCATTAGAGTCCACACAATCCCTTCTCACGCGCTTCTTTCTTAATACACTGCAGTGAAGATAACAGCATCATTTTATTTTATGTGGCCTGTGTTTTGGATAGAAAAAATACCTCAAAGCTAGAAGTAACTATTATTATTTTTATAATAAAATAATAATAATAAAATTATTATTATTTTTAAATTAGTAATTATCATACTTTGTAATATTTTAAAAGTTATCAATGCAAAGCCAGGTATGGCACATTAGAGCTTCAGGAAACACCTGACACCCCCAAGCAGGGCTAACCTGAGGTCTCGGTCCTCTTCCCCATGAGCATCCAGATAGACAGAGCCCCAGAGGCAGAAGCGGTGGCCTCGGATGATGATGATCACTGACGCATTGATTAAGAGGAAAATTCCTGTTCCAGCACCACAATTCTGAGAATGCTTTTAAAAAATTAAAATATAACAATGCACTTTCGATCAAATGGCCTTTATAGACAAATCAAGGATATCTCAATTAATAAGTAAGCTGGAACTATTATTAATTTAAACATTAGGTTTCCTCTATTTACACCTGCAACCCCAGCCCCAAGAGCTCATTGCTACATTAGGAAGAGTTTGGGTAAGCACACGTGGAAACAGCGAACAGCTTGCCTCCCGCCGAAATTAGCTAGCACCCGCAATGCATCAATGAAGGCTGGTTTTCAGCATGTTAAAAAGTAGGCAAGGGAAGGAAGAACTGAATTGTACTTAAGAAAGGTTTTACTTCTTAAACACAGTCTGGGTTTTGCCTCGAATGTGCTATTTAGCTCACAGACTGTGAAGAGCTGAAAGTGTCACTGTCTAGTTTCCCCAAGGCCAGGTTTTACGACTCCACAGTTTGCTTACCAACACACATTCACAGTAGCTTTGCTGCTTGCAGCACAGTCCTTTCAGACACACAAAAGTGCCACAGACGAGGCACACAGCGGGGTCTTTAGGAACCTTGGTGCAGACACTGCAGGTTTTTCTATGGTAGTACTGAAAAATGGTGTTGTAATTCTCAGGCAACTGTAGCAGGTGTGGTAATTTCCATCTTGACTCTTGGATAAGCAAGGCCTAAAACATCCAAAAATAGTCATCAGCCCTATATATATGGGATACTAACACTGCATATTCAATTTTTAAAAGGAGTTTTATTTTAGGGTAAAGATAAATAAAGAATATGACTTATTTTTTAAAATCTGTCTTTTTCCATTTTATAAAAAACAAAAGTCCTTTAGCAATTATTATTCTTTATTTCCATACAGATTTCAATTCTAGCAGATGTAAAACTTTTGAGTAAGCACCCTAAAACATGGTTGTTATTTTAAGAGAAAAACAGTATCTCTGAACATGCATGAAAATATATCTGCAAACATGCAAAAACATTAAATAGTTAATTAAACATTTTCTGACACCAGGTCTTGACCTGTCACACATAAATGAATCTTTAGCAGAAGTCAGAGCTAGAAGTCATTATTCCTATTTTAATGCTTTACATGAATTCTCCCTCCTAGAATAGGCAATGTTCATATACTTCAGGTCATCGAGATTATTTGTATCTGTAAGTTCTGGCCTAAAACCCTTTGAATAAATTTCCTGCTTACGTATGAAAAAGTCCAAGTTACCTAACACTTCCTGCAGAGCAAGCATTATTTACTATCTGCAGTTGTAAAAAGGTATTGGTAATGTTTTTCTTCTAGATGTTACTCCAGTCACACTATTGTTCCATTATTAAGGGACTGATTCCTATGAAACACTTTCTAGGAATTGGGAAATTCAAAGAAAAATAAGAATTTTTGTTCTGTGACACTGTCACTACAGTACAGAAACAAATGTGAATAAAAGAAGTCGAGCTCAGTGGCACTTGTGGATTCGGAGCTCATCACATAAGGCTGACTCTTGCCCATAAAGACAGCAATAGTTAGAGACAGTGACTCAGCACTAGAGATGGAGGATGTTAGGACTATAAAGAAAGAATGACCAGCAAACAATCTTGATGGAAGAGGCAAGGCTTCAAAACACAATAGACTCAACAGAAGAATAGTAGAGCTGCTTGAGACAGAAGCAGCAGCAATGGGAACTCTTACAGGCATTTCAAAGTCTGCAGCACATTTACACACTCTTCTGTGTCAAATCAAGCAAGGCAGCAAATGAGTGGTACAATAACAATGGAAACACAAGCAAGATGATGAAGGCCCTTGACTGCCAAGTGAGGCCCAGTCTTTCTGAATGCACAGACAGCCCACAAGACATAAAGCAGGAACACATTTCCATGACAACTAGAAGATGCCAATGATTTTCATCTTAGATCAGAAAGTCACCTGCATCTGGCACCAAGGTTGTGTATTTCTCTCAAATAACTTTTTTTAAGGTCCTCCCACCACCCCCACCCCCACCCCCAGAGATTCTGTGTGTAGCCCTGGCTATCCTGGACTCATTTTGTAGACCAGGCTGGCCTTGAACTCACAGAGATCTGCCTGCCTCTTCCTCCCTGAGTTCTGGGATTAAAGGCCTGTGCCACCACCTCTGGCTTCCAATAACTCTTGTACTAGTCCCTTTCTTACTTTTACAATCAGAAAAAGTCTAAAGTCTTCACATCTAAACAACCTGGTAAAGAAATAATGCTCTAATCATATCACTCCATTTCTCAGGGACAGTAATTTTACAGGGAAAGGCTGTTTAGAAACCATGGCAAAAGCAGTGCCCCTGCTGCCTGTCTCTCCACTCTCAGGCCACAAACCCATATCTAAACATTAAAGACATATGCTTAGTTCTCATTTCAAATACTTTTAAACATGAGATAGTTCTACAAGTAAAAATATAGTTTATTCACCTTCAGCAAAGTGGCCGGATACAAAATGAACTCAAAAAAAATCACTAGCCCTCCACAAAAGGCAAAAGGGTTGAGAAAAAAATTAAGGGAAACAACACCCTTTACAATAGGCACAAATAATATAAAGTACGTTGGTGTAACTCTAACCAAGCAAGTGAAATACCTGTATGAAAAAAACTTCAGGTCTCTGAAGAAGATATCAGAAGATGGAAAGATCTTCCATGCTCATGGCTTGGTAGATTAACATAGTGAAAATGGCCATCCTGCCAAAAGCAATCTACAGATTCAAAGCAATTCCCAACAAAATACCAACACAATTCTTTACAAAACTTGAAAGAACAATTCTCAATTTCATATGGAAAAACAAAAAAACCAGAATTGCTAAAACAATCCTTTATAATAACAGATCATCTGGAGGGATCTCCATCCCTGATCTCAAGGAGTACTAAGAGCAATAGTAATAAAAACTGCATGGTACTAGCATAGAAAGAGAATGGTGGATTGATGTAATCAAATAGAAGACCCAGAAATAAACCTACGGATACTTGATTTTTGACAAAGAAGCCAAAACAATACAATGGAAAAAAAGATAGCATCTTCAACAAATGGCGCTGGTCTAACTGGATGTCTACATGTAGAAAAATGCAAATAGATTCATACTTATAACCCTATACAAAACTAAAGTCCAAGTGGATCAAAAACCTCAACATAAGACCAGACACATTAGTAGGGAAGAGCCTTGACCTTATTGGCACAGGAGACATCTTCCTGAACAGAACACCAACAGCACAGGCTCTAAGAGCAACAATCAATAAACCCATGAAACTGAAAAGCTTCTGTAAAGCAAAGGACACTGCTGTCAGAACAAAACTACAGCCTACAAATTGGGAAAAGATCTTCACCAACCCTATATCTGACAGAGGGCTGATATCCAGAATATATATAGAACTCAAGAAGTTAAACACCAACAAACTAAGTAATTCAATTAAAAAATGGGGTTTAGAGAATTCTCAATAGAGGAATATCAAATGGCAGAAAAACACCTAAAGAAATATTCAACATCCTTAGCCATCAGAGAGATGCAAATCAAAACAATACTGGTATTTCACCTTAAACCCATCAGAATGGTTAAGATCAGACACTCAAATGACAACACATGCTAGAGAGGATGTAGAGAAAGGGGAACCCTTCTCCACTGCTGGTGGGAATGTAAACTTGTACAACCACTTTGGAAATCAATTTGGTGCTTTCTCAGACAAATAGGAATAGTGCTACCTCAAGATCCAGCTATACCACTCCTAGGCATATATCCCAAATATGCTCAAGTACACAAGGACATTTGTTCAACCATGTTCATAGCAGCTCTATTCGTAATAGCCAGAATCTGGAAACAACCTAGATGTCCCTCAATGGAGGAATGGATACAAAAATTGTGGTACATTTACACAATGGAATACTACTCAGCTATTAAAAACAAGGAAATCATGAAATTTGCAGGCAAATGGTGGGAACTAGAAAAGATCATCTTGAGTGAGGTAACCCAGTAGCAGAAAGACACACAAGGTATATACTCACTCATAAGTGGCTATTAGACATATAATATAGGATAAACACACTAAAACCTATATTCCTGAAGAAGCTAAATAACAAGGAAGACCCCAGGGAAGATGGCAGATCCTTATTCAGAAGGGCAAATGCGATAGACATTGGGAAGACAGGGAACAGGACAGAAGCCTACCACAGAGGGCCTCTGAAAAGCTCTACTGATTGAGGTATCGAAGCAGATGCTGAGACTCATAGCCAAACTTTGGGCAGAATGCATGGAATTTTATGAAAGAAGGGGGAGATAGAAAGACCTGGAGGGGACAGGAGCTCTACAAGGAGACCAACAGAGCCAAAAAAAACAAAACAAACAAACAAACAAAAAACCAGAGCCCTGGGGCCCCTGAGGAGAATGATACCCCAACTAAGGACAATGCATGGAGAGGACCTAAAAACCTCGCTCAGATGTAGCCTATAGACTCAGTCTTCAAGTGGGTTCCCTAGTAAGGGGAGCAGGCACTTTCTCTGGCATGAACTCAGTGGCAGGCTCTCTGATCACCTACCCCTGGGTGGAGCACAGAGGAAGACAATGCAACCAGTCCTGATGAGACCTGATAGGCTATGGTCACATAGAAGGTAAGGAGGACCTCCCCTATCAGTGGACTAGGATAGGGGCATGGGAGAAGAAAAGGGAGGGAGGGTGGGATTAGGAGGAGACAAGGGAGGGGGCCACAGCTGGGATACAAATTGAACAAATTGTAATAAATGATAATAAAAAATACAGCTTATTAACTTTAATTTTTATCCTCCAACATGATGGTTGCTTAAATGATTTTATTAAAATCTACTAATAAGCTAAAAGTTACAACTAATACACTTTTTTAACTAGCATACTTCTGTTTTTATTTTTTTACTACTTTTGACTCAACTATTATTTCTATAATAGTTTAAACTTTATCAGTTTAAAACCTGCTGCCACTGATGACCTAAAATTTGAATTTTTCTGTGAGCACATTGCCACCACAGCAGTTTATTCTTTGTACGTACCTTTCCTTGTTCTGCATGCCTCTCCGTAAATGATCTTATCTCAAAACACCACTGACTTATAATGTCAAATGCTGCAACAGGCCAGTCCAGACATGAGGCACTGATGAATGGGTGATCTGTTTGGTAAAAAGTTGGCAGAAGTCCCAGGCAGCTGGCAAGAACTGAAAATTCTTCTTCTTCCTTTTAGACGCGAAACAGAAAATTCTGAAGTTATTCTGTCATCCTCACCAATTACTTTTGGACAGTAGGAAACTAAGGCAACTGAAAGTAATGGAAGTTTAAAAAAAAAAAGAAAAAAAGAAAAGGTTCTTTCTTATATTTTATCCAAGTATCCTCCAAATATTTTTCTTTGAAATTTAACTCCTACAAGTCCTAACATCTTATATTATACGGTTGTCACATATATGCTGAATAGTTTACAAAAGTTAGAAACTCTATAAAAGCTCTTTAGAAAACAAAAAAGCTATTTTGGGTTTAAGAAGCATATACGTTGAGCTGGGTATGATGGGCACCCCTGTAATCTAGGAATATGAAAGTTCAAGTTTGAAGGGGTCTGAAGGCAGCTAGAACTCTAAATAGTAAGTCTGTGTCTCAGTAACCAGAGTGAGTGGAGCTGAGTGGTAGGGCTTGAAAGGCTCTGCTCACTGGCCCAGCAATGGGGCTAAGGGAACTGCTTGCCAGTGTAGAGAGAACAACAAAAATCACAAAAGTCACAGAAATAAGAGCTAAGTAATTTTCTTGGGTTCTCAATACACATGAAAGAATTTTTTTTTAAAGTGGGGGTTGGATGGGGGGTTGAGGGTGTGATGTGGTCTGTGTGTGTATATGTGTTGTGCTTTTTCTAAATCTGTAGCATGATCTGTCAGATCTGAGGTTCTGTTCACTAATAGAACTAGAGGAATTAGAATTAACAACTTATATATTCTTTAAGTTTGTTTGTTTTCTCCCTTTTTGAGACAAGCTCATACTATGTCACCCTGGCTGGCCTGGACTATCTAAACCAGACTGGCTTCAAAATTTTTATTTTGTTGCTGAAACAATGTCTCAAGTACCCCAGGCTTCCCTCCCCTGAGTAGCTTTGACCTTAAAAGCCCAGTCTTCTTGCATCTACCTCCCAAGGACTGGGATTCACCACCACATGAGATGTGTACTGAGTACAAGGACCAGGCCAGACCCTGCACCAGCCACACCACAGCCCCTAGGCTACTTGCAAGGATGTTTGTCAGTATCAGAAACACAATGTAGATTTTCCAGACCCTCTTTATTTCATCAAGACTATATTGGAAGATAGTGGACCTCTTTTTCCTTGTTTGCTGGGTCAATTCCTATTCCGCTCAAATCCCATCTTCCCAAAGATGTACTGAATGATACTCCAAAGCACACAGCTTCATTCCAAAAACAAATAATCCTTCCATACCTTGTACATATTTCAATTCCTGCATATATATTATATATAAACACATATTGTATAAATATGAATATATACAACTATAATATATAAAATATATGTAAATTAACTGGTAATTTAAAGTAAACTTTGCCTCCCTCTAAGACCAGGTCCCCCAGTGCTTGGCACATAGTGAGCTTTTATAACTGAGTTAATTTTATACATGAAGTACAACATTCCAAACTCTATCACAAAGAAGAAACTAAGCTGAAACATCACAATGATATGCAAGCTGAAACTGCAGATCCTCCATTTTATCCAGTTAAACAAAGAACTGACTTTACAAAGCTGTTTTACCAAAGTATGACTTTATACCATGATATACACTCATTCCAGGTTTAGCTCAGTGATTTCATATGTGCGTATAATGCACCATGGGAGTAAAATTTTGCAACAGTTCTCTAACTCCTAGTATTCATTTGTGCCCTATGCAGTTAATTCCAGCCCATACTCTTTGGCAACCAGGTAACCACTGATATGCTTTCTACTATCACAGTTTTGGCTTTTTTTTTTTTCCCTCCATATAAATAGAACCATACAGTACAGTCTTTTGTATCTGGTATCCTTTCACTTAGAATAATTCTCAGATTCATGCATTATGTGTATCGGCTTTCCATGCTTTTTCTTCCTTTCTGGAGACAGGCTCTCACTATGCAGCCCAGGCTGGCCCAGAACTCACACTGTAGAGCAGGCTGGCCTACACCTCCCAAAAAGTGGGGTAGAGATGTGAGCCACTACATACGGCAAAGTGTAGTCCAGGCTGGCCTGGAACACAATGGTCTTCCTGCCTTTACCTTTTGGCATATCCTACCAGTATGAGCCATGACAACTAGCTATTTCTTTCAATTGCTTAGTCTACTATATAGACATGCTAAATTTTATTTGTGTATTCCTGTATGTCTGGACCAGTATTTACTATCATGAATCAGGCTATTATAAATATGCTTTTAAGTCTTCACATAGGTACATGCCTTTGTTAATTTTGGTGGACATCTATAAACAGAACGGCTGAATTGTAAAACAAACACATGCCTAAGAAACTAAGAAATCTTTTCCAAACTGAATGTACCACTCTGTATCTCTACTAGCAGTTATGGCGATCTGGCTACTCCAAATCCTTGGCAATACTTGACTATCATTTGTGGTGCTAAGTTGGTACCATAACTTGTGTTAGCTTGTGCTAACCGAGCACTTTTCTTTTACTTGTTGGCATTCACATATATTCTTTTCCCAAAGTGTCTACTATTTTTGTTCATTGTTATGTTGGGGTTTTAATTTTATTACCGAGTTTCCAGATTTTTGATGTATGTTGGGCATGCTCAGAAGGGCAGCACCAGCCCCACTGGTGCACTCTAACTCTCTAGTAACTTCACACCCTATGATGCAATGAAATGACTTTCTAATGTCATTTTATTTATATCTATTCCTCTTGAGATAGGGTCTTTCTATGTATCCTTGCCTGGCCTGGAACTCATGTAAAACAGGTTGACCTAAAACCTCAGATTTGTCTGCCCTTGCCTCCTGAGTACTTGAAACTGAAGGCATGCACTGCCAAACCTGACTTATATTCATTTTTAGATTATTTCTAAAGCACAGAAATAAGAAATTTTAAAACATTTTTCTTACATCCTGAAACTTTGTTAAGCCTGTTCATTAGCTCTAGTAACTTTGTAAAATTACTTATGTAGCTGGAGAAATGGACAGCACTGGCTTTACTCTCTTTCTGACTCTTTCAAAATACACCCAATTCAGCATATTCTCTTGGTCTTCCTACACATCTGGTGCTCTAAAAATGGTATCACTGAATGTTGATACATAGGCCACACCGGCTTTCAATGCCCAGATCCAGAGAGTCTTCCTCCAGGCCTTCTAAGTTAGAGGGGGAATGATCTGCTCAAAACAAATGAAAGCGGAAGCAATAAGGTAGCAAGGCCAGGAACAACCCAGCTAGTGGCCTCATGTGTGCTGAAACACACTGGTAAAGGGAAGTGCTGACTATTCTTGAGCAATCTTCATGTTCTGCATGTCAAAAAACAAGCCTTCTATAAGATTCTTTTAAAGTTAAAACCTCAAAAAAAAAAAAAAGAAAAAAAAACGATAAAGAGAGAAAGAAAAACTGAAGTGAAAGAAAGAAAATATCTCATGGTTAAATGTTTTAAATTTGATCGACATCTTATAGCTATAAGTAGACAGTACTTGTTAACAGACACATAGGTTACTCTGCAGCACTTGATAAAAACCAAAACTATCAAACTACTTAACAGCACATTCAACGAGTTAGGACAGAATGAACAGAAAAGCTATTTTAGTCTAATATAATTTAAAGGCTTCAAAGACTGCAAATATGGTGAGTTACAATTTCTGTATCAAATTCCTTGAGCTGGCAGTCCATGTCAGGACCAAGTCAATGAATACACTCTGGCTCACTTCCCTTCCAGTCTCCTGCCCTGTTTTGCTCTTGCTTATCCTTCTGACTCACAGTATTGTGAACTAGATTAAACCTGCAGTAATTCAGTTACCCAATTTTTAACACAACTGGCTAAAAAGCAAACATTTTATTGCCATTAAAACCTATATCCTGCCACACCATCTAACAGCCACTCTTCTGAGCAATGGAACCTGTAAAAGAGTATTAAAGGCACATAATTCCTGTGATAAAAATACCAACCAAATGAACAACATTCTTATTCAAGTAATTGGCCTGAATTTGCACTAACCTGATCCAAAACTGCTCATCCATCTAAAATTACCAATGTTATCAGAAAAAAATAGTATAGATGCTAGTAAATACAAAATAGTGATATTTAGATATCTAGTCTTTTGAGCTAGCCCGACATATCCTCATATGCCATTCTGCATGTCAAGAGACACTGGGATTCTACTATGCGCCAGTATGATTTAGAAACTTGCCTACTGTAACAAGGCCCTACTCTCTACCCCAAATTATACCTGGCAACTTGGCAAATCTTCCCCAAAGAGGTGGTGCTGAAGAAGGCTGCTGATCCTGAGGAAAGGTAAGCAGAAGTCCTGTATGTATTTTTCCATGGACTCAGGAGACCAAGCAATAGGGTTAACCTAAAGTTTAAAAGAAAAATGGAAGAATTCACTCTGCAATAGATGCAGCTTCTCAAAAGTTCCTCCATAGGGGCAATACAGTGTAGTTTAACAGACTTACCACCGCACACTCCTGCGTCCCTTCCACATTGTATAACTTCCCTTTAGACAGCTCACTTGTAACAAAGCTCAACAGCACTTCGTAAGACTTTTCTGCATCACATGTATTCTGGGAAAAATTAAAATACCAGTTTTACATTGGGCACCAAGAAATTAAAAGAAAGTTCACTGGAAATAATCCCCATTAGCGTAGTAAAATTGCAATTGTATTATTTCTCAAATATGTGAATTTCCTTCCTTCTAAATCCAGATTAACTCTGGATTCACAATAAAATTGAGTAGGTGGTTAAAATTATTCCAGTATGTCTTTAAAAGACAGAATGCAGCATACATGTATGGATATATATGAAGACACACACATACACATGCACACACGCACCCAAAAGAAACACCATGAAGCAGCTTCATCTACCACAGCCTTCCCCCAGTGTGCTACCTTGCCACAGGCCCTAAGTGGGAAAACAAAAGAGTGGTGGACTAGGAAACTGTGAGCTTCAATAGTTCCTCTTTGAAAGCTGATTATCTACTTCTGTCACAATGATAAAAAGCTGACTAGGCCACAAAAACACTGGGATATAGAGGAGGAAGTCAGGGGTTCACTGACCATTAAATGGCCTATAAATGAAGCTTAATAACCACTTCCATTTTTATGAGAAAAGAAAAAATTATAAGTTTTAAAATTTCAATAAAATACAAAGAAATGTATCTCTACTCACTGATGTATTAAAAATAGTATAAACATATAAATTATAATAATAATGTATAATAAATCAGAAGATATGTGCCTCCATGCCTGCTTCTAATGGGTTTAGTGGATGGACTCAGGTCTTCATGCTTGTGTCTAAGCACCTTAAACTGAGTGTCTCCTCAGGTCCCAGCTTTGTTTGTTTGTTTGTTTGTTTGTTTGTTTGTTTTTAAGGCAGAGTGGTTAATTGCTCAGGCTGGCCTTGGGCTCACTCCACAGGCAAGGCAGGCCTTGAACTTGCAATCCTTTTGCCTCAAGCTCTCAAGTAGCTGGGATCACAGCCCTGCTCTGCCAGGTCCAGGTGAAAGCACACTTCTAAAAGATACTGCTTGTTGCTAACATATTCTGCAGGGGTCTATTTCATAATTTTGTAATAGAAATGCTTCATAATTATGGATTTGTTGGCAAGAGTGTAATGGATTAAGGAGATACAATCTGGCTGTGTTTGTGGGTCTGTTTCTTGGGAGGAGAAACCAGGTGTGAATGTGGACAGAATGTGGACAGGCTTGGTGCCCATGGGAAAAGAAGGGGAAGCCGCTCCTGTCCAGCTAAAGGACTGTTTAGGAAGGATTAGGAAGTGTGGCCTTCCTCGAGGAGGTGGATCACTGAAGGTGGTCTTTGAGGTTTCAAAAGCCAGGCCCAGTCTGTTTCTCTGACTTTATCTTGCAAATAAGATTTAAGTTTTCAGCTACTGCTCTAGTGCCACACCTGGCAGCCTGCCTTCTACCATGCTTCCCATCACCATCATGAACTAACCTCCAAAACTAGATGCAAGGGTCCAATTAAGTGCTTTCTTTTATAAGCTGCCTTGGTCATGGTATCTCTTCATAGTAATCAAACAGTAACTAATACAGACTGCTATGTACCATGTGGCAGGGACATACAAGAATTGGTCTAGTCCTAGAGGAACTGATAGCCTACAGAGGTGACAGTATGTCAGTGGAGAAGTGTGGGCAGGCTAATATGAGAAAAGGAAAGGGATGCGTAAAAGAAAAGGCTGGAACACTGCAAGTTAGTAAATTAAGAATGGACAAAAAGCCAGCATTTAAATGTGCTCACTATGATCCTATGCTAAACAAAGTGACTCCTTTAAACCGCAACCACAGTAACTACCATGGTTTTTGGACCCCTTTTAACTCCTCCCCATCCATTATTGCCTTCACTGATCACCTCTGCTATACTTTTCTAATCTCTCTCTTTTTATTCCACGATAACCTATTGCTTCTTTAACTGAAAAGACAACTTCTTCCTGCTCTTCTTTATTACAGAATGATTTCTAGTCTCTGGCCAGAAATCCTCAGAATTCTTCAATACACTTTTAAACCTGGTAAGAACTATGGAGCTATTAAGAAAATGTACATATACACAACCAAATTTTTCCATACAGTTTTAGAAGATGTGTGTGTGTTATGTATGTGTGTGCTGTGTGTGGTATGTGTGGTATGTACATGTGAGATAGAATTCAAGGAAGAGACTACCTTTTTAAGCGCTCCAATGTGTTTCCAGGCTGACCGGTCCTCTTCACTGCCCTTAACTGAAAGCGCTGCCAGAGCCTGTGTATACAGCAGGGTGAAGAGGACTTTGACAATGCAGGTGAAGTGCTCTACAACAGGAAAAGAACAGCACTGATTGTTTGAGATGCAGACACCGAACATAAGAAAAGTTCACATGCATACAACTTTCTCTGCACATGTGATTTTCAACATTTGAGTAACTAATAAAATTATAATGTGCTCTATTTATCCTATTGCTTGTATTGTTGCTATGAGCAAATATGCAGCATGAACAACGTAAGTGAGGAAAGCTCTGTTTTTGCTCATTGTACAGATACATGAGGGAGTCCATTCTCATTCAAACCATCACACAGTTAGTCAACATTTTCAGGATGGAATGGCTGTGTCAAAAATCTGATGATCTTATTTTCTACAAGATTATTGCTTATTTTCTATGTTTGAAACTCAAAAGCACTATTACTCTCGCTCAATCTTTAGTACTTCTGTTGGGATCACTTTTATATAATGTTCTTTGGGAATGTTGGTAGTTTATTAGAAACAAAATCCAGTTGCCTGAAGTATACTCAAGGGGCCGGCACTGATTACCTTATCAAGTGTGAGGTGCACTTTGGGATCTTCTCTTAGTTCTATCATGATTAAGGCAAATAAAATCTCATTAAACTATTTGGGTTCTTCCCTTCACCAAACAGAAAATGGAATGTAGCGTATTTTTCATAGGCTGTATTTTTGGGGAAAGGATCAGATGACATATAATTAGTAATTATAGATGATAAAAGGGAAAAGTAAGAGAATTTATTATTTCCATGAGGTGAAAAGTACTCCGCATAAAAGTAGTAAGTTTCTTTCTTTTTCTTTTTTTTTTTAAACAAATATCTTCCATGGTGCTTTTAGGAAAAGACGTGTACTCTTTTTCTAGGGTCTTTGCATTCTATGTTTACCTCATCCTTAAATGATAACAGAAAGTCTAATAGTGCAGTGTCCTGGCAAAGCCCACATTTTATTCATTGTTGCATTTCTAGTATCCTGTAAAGCAGTGTTTCAACATGGCATACAGCCGGTGTTCAGCCAGTAAAGGTGCTTTCTAACAAAACTGACTGGAGCTCCATCCCCAGAGCCCCACTGCAGAAGGAAGGCAGCTGAGTCCTGCAGCATTTCTTCTAACTTGCGCTTCACGCAGTGCACACTGAGCTCGTGGACACACGGATTTGCAATGTGACTTTTAAAATGTTTCTTGACCACAGAAGACAATGACATCACAACTCAGTACTAAACCAGCATCTGGCTATTAAATTTGTCCACAAAACGACTTTTAAACAATATTAAAGAAGGATTTAAGAAACACTAACTACATTATAAAATTTTATACAGATTTTTCCCCTCAATCTAGTCTAAAATATTTATTAATGAAGAAAATCTAAATTTCTTAGCTAGTTTGAAAGCACAGCTTTAGGGTTTGTTTCTACTGGATCAAAATCTGCAGGATCAACTATTTCAGCATACTTAAGTTTTTCCTACCTCTGGTTAAAAGCTAAGGTCAACTGTCCTTTCTGAAAATGACCCAACAGCTACATTAGGCAGACATTCAAGACAAGGACTTGTGCTACTAACTGAAATTTAATTCCTTCTAGATATCAAGTTACTTCCCTGTTAGGTTCTCAGGTTTATATGATAACTATCCCTATAAGGAAAAAATATGTTTAATTATTTAAAATATAAAACAAAGCAACTATTTGTAGGTTAAAATATATTTGTATTATTTGAACACAATAAGGAATAAAGTACCATGACCCTTGATAGTTGTTTTCCTAAAGTAACAAAAACTAACCAAAATCTCTCCCCCACACACATACACCCATACACCCTAAACTTACCAAAATCTTTCCCCTACACATATCAAAGAACCTAAAATTTATTTTACAAAGAGATTGAATTAGGCTATTTGACAAGTTTAGGTTTTAAAGTCTACAAAATACATGAATAAATTCACAGCCATAGTCAATCCCACAAAAGCAATATTAAAAATATCCAATGTATGTTAAAAGGAGAACATGGTGAGTAGCCACTGACAGTCATTCCTTTTATGCTGATTAAATTTTTCTGGAACTTGTAATGGTGATAACGTATTAAATGCCAATGCAATCACAGCTGTAAAGATGTCAAAGCAGCACACTGTACGTTATGTGCATACTGTAATTAATATGTTAAACAAAGCCAAGTGGTAGTGGTGCATGCCTTTAATCCCAGCACTTTTGAAGGCAGGTGAATCTCTGAGTTAGAGGACAGCCTATAGAGAGATCCAGGACAGTCAGGGCTACATAGAGAAACCATATCTTGAAAAAAAAAAAAATTAAATCAAAGTTCACACAGCTGCTATGAACGTGATTTGCATATTAATGACATTATGTTACCCTTTACCAAATATAATTTACATGAAATGTTGTACATTGTCTGTAGTTAAAATATATGGTCACTTCTTAACACTAAGTTGATTTTATTAAATAATTTTGTTAAAACTGAAATATACATGAGGAATGTCTTCCATGGGAAGAGCATCTTTTTACACCAAAATTACACTGTAACTTTGAACAGCAAAACAGGGCTGGGCGTGGTGAAGCACGTCATTAATCCAGATCTCAAGAGGCAGAAGCAGGCACATCTCTATGAGTTCCAGCCCAACTGGCCTACACAGAAAGTTCCAGACTAGACAGGACTATGTAATGATACCCTATCTCAAAAACAGAACAAAATAAAGCAATAAGCCAATCTTTCAAAACAAAGGAAAGTTAATTAGCTGACAAAATATTTTAAATGCTTTAAAGTAGACCTTTGAAAACTATGGATCAATAATTAAAATATTGCTAATTTAATATCAAAGACGTTCATCTAATGTTTTGATAGTAACACCAGATTTAC